AACTTAAAACTAATGTAAGACACTGCAGTAAGCTAGTGCAGAAGACTCAACAATGGAATATTTTTATTTATTCAGTTCAGACAAATCCTACTTTGAATAAAACTACCAGAAAGGATGCATTAGGCCACTTTACAGGAGAATCCACAACCTGTAATTACAACATCATAATTCTCTAAGAAAAAAACTCTAACAGCTGTACCCTAAAGGCCAGTCAAGGCCAGAAACATGTATGTAAACACATGTAGTGACATCACTTAATGCCTGTTTGAATAAATTGTGTGTTACAATAAATCCAACACTCATAATATAGACTTGAACTCTTTATTCAGAATTTGGAGCACTTCTTTCTTACAAGTAAAGTACAAATACAGATACTGTATATCTATCCATCTTCTAACTAATTCATTAAATTCAGGTTTGCAGGGGATCTGGAACCTATCTTGATAAGCAATGGGCACTCTGGATGGGACACCAGTCCATCACAGGGCACACCAGACACAAACACAGACACAGATATACTCACACAAGGGCCAATTTTCCCAGAAGCCTATTTTTTCCCAGAAGCCTAATCTTTAGAATGTGGAAGAAAGCCAGAGTACCCAGAGGAAAGCCATGTGAACACAGAGAAAACATACAGTACAAACTACATGCGTTCTATGTCCAGAAATGAACCCCGGGCCTCAGAAATGCATAGCAGAAGTGCTAACTACTGCGCCACCATGACACACCTGAGTTATTTCACAGTAATACAACTTACAACCAATAGTAAACAATTCCATAGCTATTTATGAGCATATGATTAGCTGTTAGATTTTTTAAAAACATCTTATTGTTTAGATATTGCTGAAATTTTTACATGTAAAATTATGTGGACTAGCCTGTTCAAATAATTTCTAGCATTATTAAATACTAACCCGCACTAAAAAGAAGTGATGTGAAAAACACTCAAGAAAGGTTTGATATTGTTTTGTATATTGCTTGGCTATTAGTATTAACAAACGTCTAATACAACTTGTTCCCGCAAAGCAGGATCTTTTGTAACCAACTTACACTTACAGTAGATGAACTTGTTATTTATCTTAAAGATGTGTAACATTTTTATTAAATATTTTAACATTATTGAAATTTTATCAAAATAGAAAGCACACAACAATTGGTATGAGAACAACACAATCTTGCAGAGGCTAAATTTATTATTACAGTGCCTTGGGCATCTCTGCTATGTTAACACTCCCTAATGTGATCATGTGATGTTTGCAGGTGTTAAAAAATCACTTCTGAACCATGAACCAATGTAACCTAAGCTGTCATGGCCCAGTATGTGAGAGGAACCATGTGGCATTATGGAATAAAAATTTTCTCTGCATTTCTATGATGGACTTCAATATACTGTAAATATGTTTGAGTGGGGATATGCGTCAGTATACATTGGTTACAGATTCAATATATATTTTTACTGCCTCTATAGGAATAAAGTATATTTTTATAGATTGTACTGTAATAATTACTGTATATCAACTATTGTGCTTTAAGCAATCCATTGTACAGTAGGTTGCAAATAAAGAACATTTTATTCTCAAATTGTGTAATGCGAAATCTTTTGATATTTTAAAAAATAAAGATAACAGAATTTTAAAAACAATACTGTGCCAACTTTAAGGCCCCATATACGGCATTATTCAATGTAATGTGCACAACTGTAGTACATTTAAGAGGGAATGCCTTTTAAGAAGGCAATATTTATAAAATGACATTTAGATGCAAGGCCAGTTTTAAAAGGCATTTTGGATTGTAATGTGCCTTTTTGATGACTTGGCTTCTTTGGCATCTTCAAGCTATTATAAATGCACTCCCACGCTGGCCAGCTGATGACTATTCATGTGAAGGGGAAGGAGAGGGTAAGAGGTCTGGGGAGGAGATGGACAATAACCCGCATTCCTTTACAACATGCTTGCGTATTCTCACAACCGTTACGCGAGAAAGAAACCTGAGGACTTTGCCGTGCCTCTTCTGATTTCCCGCTTTGTGGCCCAGCCCCCATGCATGAGGGTGGAAGTTACAGCCAAAGCAGTTGCTGCTAAAATTAACCGTCCTGTAAATGTCCCGTCCCCCCCCCAATCAAGATAAATGGAACTGCGTGTGAAGGGAGGGAGGGGGGGCAGCCCTGGAATTGGAGTCATCTGTGTAAACACATGAGAATGCAGCCAGAGCAGCTCTTGGGCCCAGATTCCTGGTGTATTAAAACGGAGGCCTCTGCAATTATCGAGCCGCTCTCATAAGGCTCAGTCTGAGTAACAGCAGCCCGCTCTTTCATTGGCTGAAGCAAAAACCCGCGGACAGAAGTTGGCCAGAGCTTACTCAGTAAGGCAATGCTAGTCTTCGGCTCTGTGGTTATGAGGCCTTGAAACAGAAGCCAACCTAACTAAAAGGCATAACCCCATGAAGGAAAAGTGGGATTAGAAAAGCATTTAAACACTACGGCAATGTGAGAAAATCACAAATGAACTTCATCTTTGCAGATCACCAAGACAGTCTTACTGGTTAGCATTTTACTATGGTTTGTAATTTCATTGCCTTCAGTTCCTCAGAGTTGGCAAAATCGGAGTTAAGATCAAACTTTTGGTTTCGCTTTCCTCGTTTGATGTGCAGTAATAATTTATATTAGGGGTGGGGGTTGATTCAGTTCAGAAAAACAAACTGGTGAAAAAGCCATAAAACAGCAATAAAATAAGGCAAGCCCAACATTTTCTATACAGTGCTGACTAGTGTCTGGATTAACAAATAGGGAGAAAAATATTATCGTTATGATTTTTTTTAATCAGAAATTGATTTCTTATTTAATTATTTGAATTCTTTAATATCCATTGAACAGACTGACTGAAATTAAGTTTGCACTGACTACACAAAAAAAATATAAAAATATTTGTGACTTAAAATATAATTTTATTGGCATGAACAACAATACCTATTCAATTATGCACCTTCACTATTTCTACCATTTGCAGATCTGCAGATGAGCTGTTGAAATTATGGTCTTGCATTTCTACATTCAAGTGAACAATGGTGCATTACTGATATTGTTAAAAGCCATGTGTAACCACATTTAAAACAGCTGAACTGAACTCCATATGATTCTCTACGTTTAAACACACACAGTGATTCAATGGATTGAATCCTCTCATACAGAATATCAGCAGAACCTTTATCTCCACTGACCCACTATTGTTTGTACAAAAGAAATTAAAAAAATGAATAGCTAATTTCTTGTTTCTTTAGTATGTTAACAATCTTCCTGAAAATTATTTATAGAACTATGCTTTCTGCTATTTTTTGTTGCTGTTTACAAATCTGTGTGTTCAGACACTGTAAATTATTTACATATGAGGTCAAATGAGAAAAAAAACAATGGAACAAGGAATGATGTACAGTAGCTCACAATCCATGAATTGTACAGTACCTATCCATGTATAAATAGAACATTCAACTTTGAAGCCTGTTTTTTAACTTTCCTTATCCCAGCTAATTATTAGATTGTACAACATAATCTAAGTGGCCCAAACAATAGGTTAAATTTCTGAATCTCTGGTTAATTAATTTAAATTTGACTTCCTACAACAGTTAACCTAAAAATTAGACTGCCATGTGCCTTTGAAAGCATTTTTTCTGCTTGTGCCCTTTTACATCTTTACTCATTCACTAGGGGCTGTTTGTGATGTTTGTGGTTTCCAAGCAGGACAACTATTTATTGACTCATTGACTATATCGTCATGCCATATTTGGCATTTCCTCCCTAAAGAAGCTTCCAAAAAAAAGGAAAACTAAGTTTTCCCACTTCCTTAGCTCAAAGAGCTATAATAAAAACAAGATGCTTACTTAGACTAATTCGATAAGAAAAAAATCAATTAGTATTACCTTATTCTGCCTGTACGTGTAATGGAAATAAGTTAAAAGCTTTCAAGCTACAGTATGTTTCTTCTCCTTATAAAATAAAGTGGCAAGAATGAGACGGAACAGAACTGGGCATCACAGAGAAATCTCCTTAAAAAGAGGCATTTTCATGTCAGGGTGGCACTTTTACTTTTTTTTACAACACTGCTCACAGGGTTATTTTGAATTGTGCTAAAAAGCTTTGCCTTTGAACACACAATTTCAAATATCTGGCTGGCTAAGATTAAGTCATGGCCATGACTTGATGTTCCTTCATCTTACATATAATGATCATTTCCTTCTCTTATGTTTCCGCCCAACTAACAGTAGAGAAGAGAGTTTTTTTTTCTCTGCTAGTAGTAGCAACTTGCAGTAGTATTCTATTTCCACAGTTAACCTTTAACATTATCTTCCTTAAACTTGAGCATTCAATAATCCCAGAAGCTAGCATTCACTGCTAAATTGATAATAGAATCCCAAAAGTTAAATGAAAGCAGAAGGAATCATGTAAACTTAAGACTAAATGTCTTTTTGACACATGAAAGGTCTCAACCCTGCGGAACATGTACAGTATTTTGGTAAAAATACTGAATGTCAAAAGGATTTTTTGCCCATCCAGTAATTCACACTTAAGATATTTGGGTATTTTATAGATCATCATGTTTTCTAATGTTTGCACAACTTTATTGTTTTAAATTGCAAAAGTTCTAAATAACATTTTGTCTTCTTTATACAGAATAATTAAAAGGTAGGTTTTAATTATTTCTATTATACTTTGCAAATAGAAAACAGTTAAGAATAGCAAAGTTAAGAAAAACAACAAATTAACTGCCTTCCCTTTATTTTAATCAACAAGCATTATTTCACCAAAGCAATGTACAGAATGTTCTTTTATGCACTAAATGTGACACACAGACCCATGGTGCTCAAATGGAACAGTCATAAATTCCCATTGATTAATCAGGAGAGAAACGGTTCATCTCGTGCTGAATCACTGGCTCTCAATCTCAGTCATCCAAAAGAACTATTCCAAGAAAAACGAACAGAGAAAAGAAAAAAAAACATTGACTTACTGCCAGGGCTTGGAGCCTTTCCTTATGCAGTTCAGCCTCTGCCATCCTAAAAAGAAGGACACACAGAAGAAAGGTAGTCACAAATGGAGAAACAGTAGCTGTCCTGGTGGAGTCAGCGAGTGAGAGTCAGTGAGTGAGCCAGTGAAAGAGCCTGAAGCCACTTCTCATCTGTGGAGTATCCAGTCAGTTTGAGGCACTGTGCTGAAGGAAGGATCATTTCATTCACTGGCTGGGTGCCTGCTTTCAGCCTGTAAAGCTGCCTGCATTCTCTCTGCTCCTGCTGTCATAAGCCATGTATGTGCACTGCAAAGCAGCTGAGTAGAGGGATAGCTAGCATGATTGTAATTTTTTTCTTTGACGTCTTAAGGCTCAATGCTCCTCCTCTGCAGCTGGGGTTGGAGGGCACAGGTCTAACATTTTCAGTGGCATTGCAAGGTAAAGAACCATTTTAGAGTTCTTAAACTGTAAAAAGGAGTAACTAAATTACATTTAGGAACAATAACAACATTTCAAACACCTTGTGATTCCTTGCTTATGTTATGTTATAGGTGGTGGGCAACACAATGTCTTCTATGGTCTTTACAGCAGAAACAAACCTCTGGTTAGAGTACTTTAAACAAAAAAAACAGTAAAGGAGACACACAGAGTATCAAAATGTGTACTGTATTTAATTAAGTTTTTTGACGAAGTTTCACATAAAATATTAATTTTTAAATTACAGGCATTAAGGCTTCAGTGAGAGAGAGTGTCTTTATTAAACCCAGGGGGCAAAATGTTTTACAGCAGTAGACAATATAAAGAAAACACAAACACTACACATAAACATGAACAAGAGAATCAACTGTTGAGAAAGGTTATGGCCATAGACATAAATGAGAACTTGAATCTGTTTTTTTTAATTGCGAAATCTGTATCTACGCTCTGAGGGCGGAAATTCATTGAACAACTACCCAGTTTGTTCTTTCTGCTCAGATTCCAATTACCAAACCAGCAGATCATAGAAACATTTGAATAGAGAACTAGTTGGTAGATAGAAAGCAGAGAATGAATATAAATGGTGGAGTTGGGGTAAAGTAATTAATTAATGGAGTTCTACAGGGACCTGTATTTGGACCATGTTTCTACTATTTTTTAATAGTTATCTAGAATCTGGCATAGTTTGGCTAGACACGTTTGCAAATGATAGAAAGATAGAAGGATTAAGACTGGGCAAACACCTTGTAGAGTGAAGAAAATATTTAGGTGTGTGGTTTTGCATGCATGCACCAAAATAAACATTTTTGGGGAGTCCTCATTGTACAGTAGGTCAGAAGAAAATTAGCTAATTGTTACTACAAATATGAGAAACACTGACCTTGAAGAGGCTGTTTGTGGAAAAAACACAATCTTTACATCTCCTAGACTCCTATGTGGAAAAAGCAACAAAATGAGAACAAAACATAAGGATTTATAATTAAAAGCTTAGAATTTATATCACTTTATGTTAGAATTATTATTGTTAATTGATAATAAACTAGTAAGATCTCAACTGGAATATTGTGTACAAATGTGGTCACCCCATTACAATAAATATTGCTGGTCTGGAATTCATCCAAAACAGAGTGACCAGATACATTCTGGGGCTTAAATTAATATATTACACTGACAAGCTGAACTGAACCTTTTTAGTCTTGAACAAAGAAGACTATGAGGGGACCTTTTTTAACTATTCAAAAACCTCAAAGTTAAAGACAAACTCAACCCAGAATAAACAGTGAAACATGAACCAGAAGTCACAAGTGCATTCAAAACCAAGAACGAAAGGAACTTCTTTAAAGAGTTATTGGAGAGATGAACAAGCTACCCAGCCATGCTGCTGAAGCTTATTCTCTGGTCTCCTTCAAGAAACAGCTTTATGAGATCCTTGTACCTAGTTAGCCACAAAGTACCAAACACACTAGATGATATTATAGCACTTTCCGGTTTACGTGGGTATGCGCCCTCACTGCTGCCACCTCAGGTCAATCCCCCACCACTAGGGGTTTGAACCCGGTCCTCTGTAACTCAGTAACTCAACAGGGAACCAGCCAGCTGAGCTAAAGGGAGATCTCCCCTCAGCCTGGTGGCTGAGGTCGCTGCTATTCACAGGGAAGGGTGGTGACGTCACCGCGCTGGCAAACCGGCTTGCACAACCTGCAGTGTTGGCTGTATGTGTTACAATGTGAAAGAGCTCCTCCCATTTTTAACATTTCTTGTGCTCTTACTAAAAAACGGACATGTATCGCTGAGGCTAGAAAAATGCTTTTGTGTACAGTATGTCCACAGTACCTGCACACGCATTGGATTTAAATAAAATTGATTTCCATTTAAACAATTTGCAATAAATAATAGATTAAATCACTTTAATATTTCATAAACAATGCAAAACAATCCAACAGGTTAGATAAATCATTTCCATAAAACTAGTGTGGTTTTTAATTTCAACACACTCAAATCATTTGCCTCTTGTTTGGTGTTGGCATTTATCTGAATATTACAAGCCCCTACAGACTTAATCATAAACAATACTGAATACAATTAATTATAATGGCAGATACTTGCCGTAATAATGGCAGTTATGTCACAAATTGTAATTGAGTTGTAGTTTCAAAAGTTATAAAATGGAACACAGAAAATATGCTTTTACACATTTGTTTCTTTTTTACAAAATACATCTCATTATAATAAGATATGCAAGTATTTTTTCACTGTAGTACTAATATACTTTAATACAATATATATGATGGTAAATTGCAATTGACAGTACTGTTTTCTATTTTATGGTATTTTGATATGGGTCTTATGTTTGTATGGTCCTCAGATGTTGATTTTCCTTAAATTTACATCTTCTATTAAAACCACTCAAGAATAATAAATAACTTAACATTCACAGCTGCTGACATTTGTGAAAAAAAAGTTAGGAAAACATTAACATTCCACAGCTTTCTGTCCAGGAATAGATTTTAGGGCATTCTGGAATGCTAATTTTGCTCCCAGAATGCTTAATTGAAATCAGCTTTCAGATGTTCTTCAAATGTGTTTCGTTCTGAAATATTTCACATAGCAAGTAATCAAAAAAGAATACGTAGAATTCCAGGATGCAAACAGAAAAACCTGATAATGAATAAAAGTAGCTGAGATATTTCACCTGTAATACTATATATTGTTTAAACTATACATTCATACTATTTTGTTAACATTGTGTTTCTCCTGTCAAATGTGCAATAGGACATCTCCCATTATGCAAGAGACGTGCTCAGTTGCTTACGTAAACTCAAATGAAAATAAACCAGGGATTGTTCATAATAAATTTGAATGTGAGAACTACCACTCATTTAACATTAAACAAAGAGAACAGTAGTTGGTTTTGTTTCTATGCAGAGTAAACAATTTGAAACAAAACCTTTATTCCCATATTTTTCCTCTCTGAACATACAACATGCTTCTGGACCTGCTGCTGAAGCTCTGGCTCCACAACCCAGACACCTTGTTAATTTTGATTCATTTTCACAGTCAAAGGACTCAAGGGAACCTGTACATGGGCCAATAGCTGATTTTCAGGCTCCCTAATGCACTCCTGCTGTCTCCTTCCCGCTGACTCTCTCCTGCCCGGCTCTCTCCTGTGCAGGGACATAAAAAGTCCTTATAAGGAAAAAGGCACGCTAGCCTGTCTGAAGTGTGCCTCCGTGCTGAAATGCTCTGAGGAATTCATAAAAACGTCCTGGAAAAATTAACACATTATGTTATGGCAATCTTGTGTATAGACAATATAAGCATTGTGTACTATTTTTTAAACCCACATGAAAAGTATTTTTCAAAAATAATTCCTTAGAGATGGTACCAATTATTTTACTAAAAGTGAATGGGATATTTTTAGCTGCAATATTTTGGGTACAAAGGGGCACTATCTGATCATTCCATTTAAAGTATTTTTACTGTCTCTGGGATGTGTCAGCAAGGACTGTGATACAGTATGTTTAATATCACTCACACAGATTCTCAACACGTTCCGAGACTCTTCCAGCATTTACATACAGATATACAATGGAAATGTTATTGGATTGTAGTAGGCTTTTATTATATTATTTTGATCTTGAAATATTTTTTTTTGTTTAGTAATTGCTGCCTTGAAGACATTTATCATCTCAAAAGCTTTTTCCCAGAGAGCTTTTGAATGCTTGGTATGCTCTTATGTTGTAATTATACAGATTATGCTGTAAAAATATTCTGTTTACCAAGTATTTTTTGTTTAACATTTAGAGAATAAGATAGGGAGTGGAAAAGAAAGAGATTGTCGTTTAATGATTTAATACCTGGATATAGGAAAATACCTATCAGGAGTAAATTCTGTAAGTCAAAATTAGCTTCTATGGAAGAGGCAGACTTTAACATTGGCAGGCTGCACCAGTCAACACTAGGCAAGAGGGCAATAACTGCTGTCTTTAAAAGCCATGCTTTAAAGCTGTAATAAGGAATATGGGGTGTCTGGGGAGTTCTACTTGCAACACTTACAGTACATTTACAATATGCCAGTTACTCTTAGAGAATCAGAAATTGCCTTTTTAAAAATCTTCAGCTTTCTGCTCTGAGTCATGTGCAATAGCTTCATTAAGATATGGTGGGTAATCAACAAAAGAAGGACTAATGTACAGTGTTTGTTATTCATCTTGTTTTATTATTATTTCTACTACTAGAGTATTGTACAAGCAGAAAAGAATATGAATGAGCTATATAAATTCAACCATTAAAGAAAAATTGTCCATGTTCAGGGTTGTTCATGGGTACATGGAAAAACACATTTAATAATATTATACCAGTATGAATAGAGACTGGCGTTAAATATTCTTTTAAATAATCCTTTTACATATTAAGGGACCCCCTTTCACAAGAAGTGAGGTTAAATTATTTAAGTATTATTACCATAGACCATTGCTTCCTGTTTCCAACACATGACTTATATCATGGTTTTAACACATTTCCATTTTAGTATTTGTTCTAAAAAAAAAACTAATTGATCAAGTTAAAGGGAAGAAGATGATGAATCACTCTGAGAATCCTAAAACAAATGATGAAAAATAAATTATAGGCTGAAGAAGAACTGTCACACTGAATCTACTGAAAATCTATTTGTATTGGAATTCATAAGAAGTTCATTATGAGGCTTATTATATTTAAACGAGAGACTTGGAACAGATTTTCAGTCCCAGATGGGTGTGTGATTTTCTTCTCTACAGCACGCAAAATGAAAGACATCACATACCAATTTGTACAAACAAGATTGTCACACCAACTGTCACTTTTTATATACATGTAGATAATAAACCATATAATTGTATTCTTTTTCTTTGTTGCAGTCTTGTCCTTTTCAGCACTTTGCCTATGTAACATTGTACTTGCGTCACAGGGCAGAACTCCAAGACATCAGGAGTAGCAGGAAAATGGTGCCAGGGTCGGACTAGGAGGACCCAGGACTGTGCATTGGTTTTATGTTCTTCTTCCAGGTGTAAAACTATGTTACATACAGGTCCAGTGAAAACCTGCAAGGAGTAGGAGCCTCAGATGAAGACATGTAGGTACTGATTAATGTCATTTGAATGAGTTCTTATGTTTTATGAATAAGGCTTTGTGTGAGCTTTGTAACAGTTTTCTCAATGCATAGTGCCAGATGACATTTGGTGTGCCTGATGTTTACAGCCAACAACAATACACTAGCCTGTGTGTGTTTCAGAGGAAACAAAACTGTTCTGGAGCATGTCCCAGTATGTCTGTCCAGGACTGGCACTAGTGACTGCATTCCAACTATCCACCCATCTTCTAACCACTTTATCTAGTACAGGGTTGTGAGGAAGCAGGAACCTATCCTGGTAAGCAACAGTCGCAAGGCGGGATATATTATTAAATTATATTAAACAATATCTACTAGAAGTATACTACTTGTTTTTCCAAAGAGAAGCTGGACAAACTGTATTTGTCAGTTGGTTTTTCAGTTGGTTTAAAATACAGCTGTTCCTAAGAATCATGAACTAACCCAGTATATTTCACTATGAGATAAAATGTATAACGATTACAATTTGACTCATATACAGTACCCACCTGTGCATTCACATGTCTGATTTCTATGTCTGTATAAATGCTCAGGAAGAGGTGGTTTTAATTGCACACATGTACAGCTTTTTGTTCAAAAAGCATTGGGGGCAAAAAATGCTGGTCAAACCTGCTTTTAGAGGAAAAAGCTTTTAAAGAATTATTGGCAAAGCAAAAACTAAGACTAGAGTCTGGAAAATGCCCAAATCAGAATAAGACAAGAATGTGTAGCGGAGATAACAGTTTCAGCACTGCACAGAAATGAGCGCATGAGATCCTCAGACTACTGTACCTTTATGCCAA